ACATGGGGGTGCTCAGAATTAAATTTCGAGCGAATAGAAGAATTTTTACTTTTTTTGGTAGTCGGGAGTGGCTCTGGTGCGGCGGCAGTTGCCTCTCTTCTCTGGCGACTGGTTTTTCTTCTCTAGCGGGAGACTGATGGCTAGAGTTTGGGTTTAGTGTGATGTGAAATATTTATACCAATCTCGCATTAATCTGGGTCGTTCATCGTGTTCGATATTGACCATCCGATCGTGTTTAAAGAAGAAATAAATCTGAACTATTCATCGCGATTTAATATCGGCCGTCTGATCGCGTTTAAAAGGGGAACAAATCTGGTTGTTACACGCGGATTGCCCACATGACATCCCGTGTGGCATCAACGTCAGCGTGTTTTGCAACGAGACGTGCTTCGATTCGTCGGGGTTGCTGACTGGGCTGTCCTAAATGATAAAATTTTTTTTATTTGCACTTTGACCTTCAGTCTTTGATTTTTTTTTTTCAAAAATATCATTTAGACCCAAATTTTTACACATTTTTTTCAAAATTATTTTCAATTTCATCCATAACTTATTTTTTTCAATGATTTCACAAAAAATTAAAATAAATTAATTCAAAAATATTTTTTTATATATTTAAAATATTAAAATTAATCTCAGACTAAATTACGGGACTGGATATTACAATTCAAACTTTTTTCTTTTTCTTTATTTAATTTTTATTATATTTGATAGATTAGGTACTTGTTTGGATATTAAAATAACACTTGGCTTCATTTATAAAAGATCTTTTGTGGTAATTGCTTTGATATAGGGATTTGTAGCGTGAGTATTTGCTCTTTAATTTTTCCCTTTACATCAAAGGATTTTTTTTCTTCACATCGTATGTATTTTAAAATTTTTGAGATTTATTTGCAGTTAATTATTGTGATTTTATCAATTTTTTTTTTTTAATAATTAAGTGTAATCAACTAATAACGTCAATCATCGTGGGAATAATTGATATTAATAGTTTGCTGAGTTTTTATGTGTTAAATATTATAATTAAAATATGTATAATCGTGTATTAAGATAATTTTTAAGTTAAAGCCCGATTAATTAACCAATTAAACAATTTATTAAGAACAATGTGTAAGTGAAAATAATGTGACTATAGCTTTTAGGAAACTAAATATAATCAATTATATGGTAATGATTTTAGCTTACTTTGTTACGAATATGCTTAAAATAGTATAAGCCATGCATGTATTATGATCTTATCTTTTAATAATATCATTGTAACATACTTACAACATGCACCAATGGCATACATCTGATCTGATCCAGCCCAACCCCCACATGGATGGTCGTGTTTTGGCTAACATAACCAGAATTTTCTTTTATCCTTTTTAATTATATACATAAATACAATATATTTTTGTCTTAAAAAAATTTCTTAAAAATTCACTTTGCTTTTATTGGTACGAAGGCTATCTTTTGACCACCCTTTTGATCTACGCGAACAAAACGATTCGTTTTTGGCGTACAGAGGAGAAAGAAAAAAGAAAAACTTGCACACGTTTTTATCGTAACACAAAAAAGAAGTTTGGTAAACATTTTGATTTTGCGTGGCAAAATATTTTTGTTGTTACATACTTTGGAAAAACGTGCTTATTACCGTGAAAACTACGTGATATCAGAATAAAATATTATTAGATTAATAGTAGAAAAAAATTGAGATTTATTATTAAATTAAATATTTAATTTTATAAAACATTTAATTTTTTGATTAAAAATGTTTCTAATATAATTACTTTATTAATATTTTTAAAATTATAAAGTAACCGTTGTCAATTTACCACGATTACCTGACAAAAATATATTTTTTAATTTAAATTTGATTTTTGGAAACAAACTCATAATTTAAATTATTCATTGAATATTTTTTAATTTTTTAAATAAGTATTTTTAATTTATATAAAAATTAATGAATTTATCTTTTAAAATGTTGCTAATAACATAAAATTTCAGTCGTAAATAATTGTCAAATAAGATTAACTTAAAAATTAATTTTCCACTTATTAAACTCTAACACAATTATTTTTAAAAATTATATCATATATACTTATACTAACTTTTATTTATCCTCCACAGGATCAATGCCGAGCCATAAATAAG